TTTGACGTTTTATGCGTGAATCAAACGTCAAATTGTCGAAGCAATGTCAAAAAAAGAGCGAATTTCGCGATTATGAGTACAAGGCTTTATCAATACACGGGGCGAGTACTCAAATCTGACACTTTTCTGACATCGTTGACATGTAGCAACCCGTATTCTAACCTCACAAAAGTTTCAAAATGCCGGCTGGTTGGCAAAAGTCACGTGGTTTGGATTCCCTAATTGTAAACAAACTCATTCACATTACATAACAACATAGCCCAACTTTTTTTTTGACAGTATGAAAGGCTTGCCATTCAACCGACGTAGCTTTATTATTTTTTGAATTCGAGAACGGCTGGACCGATCTTGAATTTAATACCACGTATCTCTATATAAGCTGAATTCGATTGACCCAGATTAGATCGATTTGGGTTCAATTTAAGTGAACTTCTTCTGATCTAGATCATTTTTTGTTGATGAGAGTGCACTGATCCAGCCTCAATCGAGCACAGTGTGATTCACTCAAATTGAACCAGGGGTCGTATTTTCGAATTCATTCGAGTACACTTCGTACACGAAATTTGACTGACAGCAATGTAAATTAAATGGGGAGCATTCGAAATTGTTTTGGATTTCGTATGCGAAAATATTCGAAAATACGACCCCAGATCGATCTGATCCGGTTAATCGAATGCGGCTAAAGAGGGGAGTGCTATAAGCTATTTTTTATCTCGAAAAAAAAAGTTCGGTTGCGCGAAACTCTGATACACTGGAACGCCTATAAACAACCCGGGGCGCTCTAGAACAGCTCTGGAGTGCTTAAAATGCGTCACTGAACTCACTGGCAAGCGACTCTGGTATCGGATAAAAAATAAAAAAAAATTAAATAGAAAATCAACAACAAAATTTGAAAAAAGTGTATTATTTCAAAATATATTTTCACGCTGGCAACGCAGCGGGTCATTAGCTAGTATTAAATAATATCAATCAGGGCCCCCGCTACCATAAGCGCAAAGGCGTGCGGCGCACGCGGGCGGCATAGCCAAGGGGCGGCAAATCGCACGAGAAAAGAATATATAAAAAAAAATTAATTTACAATTTATTCAATATTTAGTAATTAATTTTTTTTCCTAAAGTGTTTCAATTATTTTCCTTTTTATTCAAAGGCCGAGCACCTGATGATTCTCGAAACGCCCAGGGTCCTTATTCTTGAAACAGGGTAGCAGCGTTTCCAAGAGAACAAGTGTTCTGTCTTTCTCAATGCAGTGGCGTATTTACGGGGGGGGCTCAGAGGGCTCGGGCCCCCCCAGAAATGTATTTTTAATTTTTAGCAACTGAATAAGCACATTAACAAACCACAAACCACTTGGTCACCGTCATTGAAATAATTTTCACACCAATAACCAGGTTCTCGGTGTATGGGTGATTTCAAACGCACTCCAAAATAAAACAGAGACAGGAATGTCTGTTGAAAGAAAGGGAATAGGAGTGAGAGAGAGACAGATGGGGATCAATCGGATCAATATATTCGATCCGTCACATTGATGTCGTCACTTCTGTAGGACATTTTCGTTTCGATTTTTCATTTCACTACCCCCGCTAAAGAAAGATAATTAATTTTTTCTACGAGCGCAAAATAGTTACTTTGCACACTCATTTGCGAGCGCAAAGTTGAACTTTGCGCACAGGAACTCTTTGCGCACGGAAACTCTGTTCTAATGGTTTCTATGGATAAACTAATATTCAAAAAGAAGGGGCTTAGTGGATATCCTATATTGCATCAAGTTTTTAGTATGGTTTACCTTGGAAAGTCCACTAAAGATCATCAAAATAGTATATTGTGTGTTTAGGTGGAAAAGTGACACATTCTCGGCCGACGGTGTAAGTTGAAACACCGAAGGCCGAGAATGTGCTTTTCCACCGAAATACACATACTATTTTTTCTGCGATCGGTTAAATACCTGTTAAATGTTTGTCTTCTAGTTCCAATTATTCAGCAATACGAGAATCACTTTCCCTGCCTAGGCCGGAAAAGTGTTTCCCGTATTGTTATTCATTGATTCCTTAGCAACTATTGAAACATAAATTGAAATACCAGAATATTGAGTTTTGCGACCTGTCAACCGGTCAAAAATGTTGACATTTCTTGTCAATCGCAGAAAAACTAAATTTCTCATCTTAGAAATAGGAAAAGTATGTTACGATAATGGACAAAATTGGAATACTAGTTCTTTTTGGTAAAAGCCATGTCAATTTTTTTTCCAATATTTATATTTTTTGAAAAATGCTGTGAAGAATTCGTAAATTTGGGTCCGAATTTGTATGTAACTTATTGCCCTTTTTCTAAAAGGCTTTTATGTAAAACAAAAACAGTGCTCTATACTAAATTCACAACTTTTTTTAAGACACTCTGTAGAAAAAGTATTGTTCCTACGACTTGCGCAAAGTGTCTTTCCCGCACTTAAAGCTTATCCGAACTCCGCTCCGCGTCGTTCGTCTAGCTGCTTTTTCGTGCGGGAAAGTATCACTTTGCGCACTTGTCAGGAATAGTTATTTTCCTACGAGAGTACGGAAAAGTTACTTTTCCGCACAATTTTTCGTTTTGAAAGTTGTACTTTTCCGCACGATTTTACTTTTCCGCACGATTTTACTTTTCCGCACTATTTTTTTACTTTTCCGCACGATTTTTACTTTTACTAAAAAGTGTACCCATATTAAAGTTCGGGGGCCCCCTATTTGAGGAGCGGAGCCTCGCGGTGGCCCCCTATTTGGAGGGCATAGTCCCGCGGGGGCCCCATTTTTGAGGGGCACAGTCCCGCGGGACCCCTTTTTGGGGGCGAAGCCCTGGGTGCTCCTTTGGGGGGGGGGGGGGGCGAAGCCCCTTATTTGGGGGGCGGAGCCCCTTATTTGGGGGCACAGTTCCGCAGGGCCCCCTATTTTGGGTGGCATAGCCCCACGAAGGTAGAGAATCCTAACAATTTTTTTGGCCAATTTAGTTATAGGCCAAGGATATTGATAAAAAATCCGGTTCCATTATTTTTTTGTGTATAAAAAAATCGTGCGGAAAAGTAAAATCGTGCGGAAAAGTAAAATCGTGCTGAAAAGTTACTTTTTCGCACGATTTTTTTATTGCTAAAAATGAATATATTTAGGATCAAATAAATGATTTATGTTATATATTATTTTATATTATGTGCTATTTTGTACCATCATCATAAAATCTTTGCGTATTGGAACATTTTTTTTGATAAATAAGATGGACAAAAGCTCTCGTAGGAAAAATATTGTACCTAACTCTTGCGGAAAATGTCTTTTCCACCCTCGACGGCTTGCCGGAACTCCGCTCCGCGTCGTTCGTGCAACTCCCGTCTCGTGCGGAAAAGTACCACTTTCCGCACTTGTAAATAACTATTTCCTAACAAGTGCGCAAAGTGTTACCGCTTCGCGTCGTTCGTATAACTGTGTTTGCGTGCGGAAAAGACACTTTGCGCACGTGTTAGGAACAAAATTTTTCCTACGAGCTTCATATCAGGTAGGTAACAACAAAAATTTAAAAAAAAAAGCGATAATTTGTTCAATTAATTTGAAGCGAACCTATTCATTCATCAAAAAATTACATAACAAAAAAACAGAAAATTGAAATTCTCGTCAGAGCTGCTCATCTTAAGGCGTTTAAATTTGATGCGAAAGAAGTTTGTAGATTCTTCCAAATATGGAGAACACAAATCTGACGTTAAAGATAATTATATTCAGTGTTTGTATAGATGTTGGCTGATATAGAAACACAGGAGAAATTTGTCATCGTGTCAAAGTCGACAGGTGCACTTATTGTTGCTTGACAATTATTTTTACTTTTCGGCACTCAGTGCGGATAAGGCCCGTATCCGCACTGAGTGCGGAAAAGTATAACTTTCAGAACGGTAATGCGTGCGGAAAAGTACTACTTTGCGTACGCTCGTAGGAAATAGCTATTTACCTAACAAGTGCGGAAAATGAATTTTTCCGCACGCGGCTGCCGTTTACCGAACGACGCGTAGCGGAGTTCGGTGAAGCAGCCGAGTGCGGAAAAATATTTACTGAGTACGTACCTAAATGTACGTACCTACGTGGGACGCACTATTTTGTGGAAAACGACCGTCATAAAGACGTCCCTCGTACGTCGGTCGGCGGGACCTAAAAAGTACGTCCGCGGACGTACTTTCGTCCGAAAAAGTACGAATTATGGACGTACTAAAGACGTACCCGTAGTATTTTTAGACAAAGCTTATCGGCTGGATTTTATTTGTGGAGAATGTCAAAATATCAACGAAAGAGATCGCACATTGACAAAAAATTCCTAAAACTCTTCCAAAGCTCAAAAATAATTATTTTATTTAAAATATATGGAAGATTTTTTCACCGTTTTTTATACCCATACTTTTTGTACCTGCCTATCCATCTCTTTACAAATCAATAAATCTTTGCAAACATTAAATTATTGACTTATGCTGATGAAGGAATTAGCATGAATTTTTTTTACAAAATTAATTAGCCGAAGGTTATTAGGTATGTATATGAATGTGTTGTGGATGTCCATGACAGTTTCGGGTCAAAGAAATCACATTATAAATTAGTTTTGTATAATTATTGTAGGAATATGCAAAAAAATTGTTGTCATAATTCGGTCATACGGAACAATCATAATAAACTTCTTTATCATGGTAATAAGAGTGTATGGCAAAAATGGTCGGAAATTGATCTTGTACCCATAAATCACTACTAAATTCAAGGTTATTTTTAAAATACATGATTTTTTTCTGTAGAACTATTTTACCGTCACTAAAAAACCTGTTGAAAAAACATAAATATTTTTAAGCGAAACATTGAAATTATCACACAAGAATAATTACTTCTGGCAGTTCTGGCTTTTGGAATACAGAACCATCAGTGTTTTGAATATGAAAAATATTCTGGTCACTGAAGAGATTATTAAAACTTTCCACCTAATGTAAATTAAGAACTCAAATGGACATTCTTACCATTTGTAACTTGGTACTTGGTCCATAATAGTACATAAGCACAATAACAACACATAATGAGGCTAAAGCAACCACCACAAAAGTAATGGCCTTTTTGGTAGTCACAAAACACCCTCCGTTTCTGGTGTAACGCAATCCATCGTTGATAGTGTCATCCGAGATGAATTCTGCTCTACTCGAAAATGGGCCAGTATTATTTTTCATTTTTGATTTTTGTTCTAGAATGAATAAAATGTAAGAACATGAAGCATTATAGTAACTCGAAATAACTTACCTATTTTTGGTTTTAAAAGCAATTTATCCTTCACTTGAACACTAACCAACACACATCGCTTACACTAAAAGAGCCGTCACATAATTTGTTGGCACCAAAAAATTTCAAAATTTCACTTTTTTTGAATTATTTGCACAAACGATTTGCACCCAGCGGTGGGTCACAATAAGATGGGATCGACTTGGTAGGTAAAACAATTTTGGTCATGGTACGGTCGCACGTGATAATCGACCGTTGGGTATAGATAAGTATTATTATTATTGTGCAGTTTTTGCGCTGCTGGTCTGAATGAAAGTGATTTTTGTTAATGGTAGATATAATACTATGTATTTACTTCTATGTGTAAATCAGAAAAATAAAATTGATGCTTGTTCTATATTTACAATATATTTTAAGTACGTAGGTAAACTTGGAACATAAATATAGAATCAAATTTGTCATACTTTTTTACTGTTTACTTAAAGCTATTTCAGGATAAAACTACCCAGACAGCACAGAGACGTCTTAAAGACGTCTCTAAGATGTTCACAAACGACATTCGTATGTACTTGAAGGCCTTGAAGACGTTCCACATAACCCAACGTCTTTCAGACGTCTGCCTAAAGACATCTTCAGGACCAATATTTCATTATAATCACCTTACTCATTTTATAACTTTCAATTTTTGTCTATTCCAGTCCCTAGGCTGTCTGAAATAATTCTGAGGTTCTTAAATTGTTCTGAAGCCTTTCAAAATGCTGCTGGAAAGTGTTTTAGAACGTTTTGAATAGCTTTATTGAAGTTCTAAAGTGTTCTAACTTAGCTTGAAGGGATCTGGAGCATTTTAAAAGTTTTTCATTAATTTCTAAATTGTTCTGATAGATTTTTAAGTATTTTAGAGCCCTATTGAAGCTCCAAAGTGTTCTAATTTGGTTCAAAAGAGTTCTAAGAGGTTTCTAGTGCTCAATTGAATCCTAATTGTTCTAAAATAATTCTGAAGTTTCTCAATTGCTTCAAAATGCTCCTGAGCTAAAATTCTGATTTGTCTGTAGTCTAAATTCGCTCTTAAAAGCCTTCTGAAAGTCATTTTGTAACTTTTTACCGGAATCCTAAGCGCTTTTCAAAATGATTCTGGAGATTCTAGAGTGTTTGGAGAATTCTGGAGCATGCTAAAATGGCTTTAAAACTTTTTGAAGCGCTACAAAATGCTTCTGGAAATTCTGAAGTTAATTTAAAGTGTTTTGAACTTTCCAAAATAGTACTAGCGGTTAGTCCAAACCATTTGGCAAATTTGTTTAAAAGCATGAAATTTGGCAGAGATGTATTTTAGACTATTCTAAGAGGACCAGCCCAATTTTTGACTGTGACTCAAAATGGCGCCTTTTTCAAAATGGCGGATCATAAATTGGTATTTCTCATTTGTCAACAAATTCTAGCGTTCGATATGTCGTTTTCGACTAATTTTGGGTCGTAGAGTTCATAAAAATTTAGTTTTTCCATTAGGATCAAAATGGTGCCTTTTTTTTCAAAATGGCGGACCAAAAATAGGTATTTTTTTTTTAAAGCTCTTATTAGCGTTTAACATGTCGATTTCGACTAATTTTGCGTCGTGAAATTCAATTAAATTAAATTTGTTTTTGATTCTGTTGAGAGTTTATTAAAAATTAGTGTACAGGGTCGTTAAAAAGTATCTAGAATATGGAGACCCTCAGTCTAGTAATTTTTCGTGATCTCATTCTGAAGGTTCTTCATGATTTTCACTAAAAAGGAGTAACCCGTATTATTTAAAAATTTCCAACCTAATAGTCAATTACCTCTTGTTTAAACATGCATCATTGCATTTGCACTGAAGTGTGAGAGGTAAACCTGTGCGTCGAAATAAACAAAGTTGGGAATCACAGCCAGACTTGCAGCCACACTTTTCCAACTACCTGCATGCTGTCCATACGGAAGTCAGTTTTGACCAAACGGGTTCCCACATTTTATTTAGTTTGGTCCAACCCCAAGAGCCTGGAGAAGGGGAGCACATTGAAGCATATCTAACGATCTACCCCAGATTTGGAGAGCTTCGAAGTAAACTCTTCCAAAAGGGCCTGAATGTGACATGGAATGTGGTCGTTTGGCAAAGATATAAACTTAAAGGCTTCGGTTGCCGACTCACATGTCATCCATGTTTTCCATGCTCCTTTCTTGCCTTTTCCACTGAAAAAGGATACACTGTCGCACCCAGTATACGCATGAAAGCCTCTTAAGCCCATACATTTCTCCGTACCTAGCTCATTAGCGATGTTGTGGGCTGCAATGTATCTTCGTTTTTTCCCAGACCCAAATAAAATCCACCACAGTTCTTCTAAACCCATAGCCTGAAGCTGATATATGAATGAAATACACAATACCACAACATCGGTAACGACTGTTCGAACTATGATCTTTTTGGCCATGTCTGATACATGTAGCAAAATTCGCCCGACTTTGTCCTCCCAATTCTGGCACGATTTTCTAGATAGTTCAGACAAAATATTTTTGAAAGCCATAACACCACCAATATTTGTGACAGTTTTCAAGTTTCCTTCTTCCACTAGACCTTTAGACAAAAGTACAAATAATTCGCTTTTGTTTTCAGAGAGAGACGCAGACGCAGAATGCAGAGAGCTTGGTTTTGAATTTCCGCGCTAGAGTGGGGGGCGCGGAGAAGGTGGAATGATGCTGGGGGTGTGCTTCTAATATTTTTTAGAGAGATCCTCTTTGTATATTTTTGAATTGTTGTTATAGAGAAAAAGTTATTAAGTGTAACAATTAAGTTACGGGTAAAACCCTAATATCGGGTAATATAGATTTACCCAGGTTTGTTCGGGTTTGTTTGGGTCTGTTTATTTTTGTTTTAAACATTAACATACCTAAACAAGTCTAACCAAACCCTAACAATAAACTTAAAATCCTAAACATGCCTGAAAAAAATTATTAGACTGAATAAACATAACATTATCTAGGTATTCGGGGTTTACCCGTAACACCGCCGAGAGCCGAGACCCGTGTCGGGCCCCGGTAAAAAAATAATAAGGGCCCCCTTTTTTTTTCAAGATTTCATAACCTCTATTTTTTATTTTAAGTTATGAAACTACGTCTAAAGGGCTCCAGGAATTTGTTGTTGTTCCGTCTGCCCCCTTCCCTCTTGTCGGGCCTGAAATATGCGCAAATTATTTATTAGGTATTGTGGAGCTGGGCTCCCGTTTTTATGTTCATACTGCCTTTTTTGATTTAATAAAAATATAAAACCCAGCAAACATTGTTATATTACCATTACATAAATGTTATATATTTGTCTGTAACATAAGTAATATTACCAGCGCATAACAAATCTGTAATTGTTCTGTCACTATTTCCCACTCAACGTTACTAAGACGCAATGAAATAATTATATAAAAAAGTAATATAACATAAGTTTATAACATCAATGTTACAGATGGTTGTAACATGTCATATAACAGGAACGTAATTATATTTTAACGTCTTTGCTAAAGGTTAATAAGGATTATAATCATAATGATTCTGTAACAAGTAATATAACATTAATATAACGTAAACAATAAAATGTTACAGTGATATTTTGCACCAGCAGCCTGAAGTACCTTTAGTTAATCTACTCGCAATAAGTGTGGAAAGTAGTACTTTTCCGCGCTTCTTTTCCTTTTCCCACATTCATTTTCAAGCAGATAGTGACTATACATACTTTCCAACGGCTGCAAGAAAATATTATACCTGTAAAAATACTTCAAATACAAAAGTTTTGGAATACACGTACCTAGTTTTTAAAAAATTATAATTTAAAAACGAATAACGCTATAGCTGTTTCGGGGTAGGTAATGAATAATTATCAAAATTGTAATGAACATTATTTGTCATGACATCAAAATACAGATGGGTATGGAAATAGAACAAATAAGTATGAAATCATTTTGTTTATGAAGCAGGCATGCACAGATTCAAATTCTACTTACATAAAGTATGGATAATAACATATGCAATATTTCTAGTAATGGGATTCTCACAAAAATGATCATGAACAATACAGAGCAAATATGGCCACCTGAATTGGTGGATTAAATTTGGATTGGACGCAACTCATTGTAATTAATACTTTATTATGTTATATAATGACAACATTTAAAATGTTCGTTATTTGTTACAAATTCTGTTTCATGAAACTTATTTATATTGTCGTAACATAACATCAGTATAATATTTTAACAAACTCTCAATGTAAAGATTAAAGAATTAGAATACCAACATTTATGATATTTGTTACATAAATATTTTACATTACTTGTTACCTGTGGGCTATATAACTATAATAGGTATTGAAACTTTTGTTATATAACTTTGTTTGATTGTCGTTTTTTAATGTGAATGTACCTAACTTACTAACTAGCTAATTGTTATGTACCTTTATAGAACAGTGATCATTGCAAATCAAATGAGTAACAGTTATATAAATACATATATGTTATATTACTTGTTACTTCTAGGTTTTATAACGTCAATAATCAATGTTTGCTGGGAAACCACACTGTCTCATGTTCATTACACAAAAACAACAAACAACTATGCAAAGAAAACAACAAAGAACTCAAACATTGAGAGCCAGGAAATCCCCCGAAGCAAAAGTCGTAAATACCGAGACATGATGCGTGCGGCATGGTTGTTGCCGATATTGCTAGGATATTAACTTTTCAGAATAGCAAATTAATACCCAAATCAGTCTATATGATTATAGATATATATTTATTCGTAAAAAATATAAGTTGTCCGGGCCCCCCACAAGCCCGGGCCCCGGTAATTTGTACCGCCTGTAATGCCCTCTCGTCGGGCCTGGGAATCTGCGTCCCAAAATTAGTTGAAAGACATGTTGAACGTTCAAAACTGTTGGTAAATAAGTATTGTCGATTTATGGTCCGCCATTTTGAAAAATCGTCGCCATTTTGAGTCACAGTCAAAAATTGGGCTGGCCCTGCGGGCCAAATCGCTTAAAATGATCTAACAAACGTCCCTGTTAAATTTGGTGCTTTTAGACAAATTTGCCAAATATCGCCCTTTTTTGAGACTAACTACTAGTACTAAAAGGCTTATTATTGTTCTAAAGCAGTGGCGCAATTAGGGGGGGATGGTGGGGGCTTAGGCCCCCACCCAAGCTCAAG